GGGGGGGGAGGGGAGGGAGCTGGTCCGCTTCCTCCGGCTCTATAAAAAACCTCTTTTGACCAGAAATATACAACAATTCCTACACATGTTACCGGTTAGGCCTGTATAGGAGACAACGGGCATTTTAACCGAGCTGGGTGCTCCTGTGTAGAAAAAGGCAGCAGCTTTTCTGAGTACAATGGCTGCTGTCCCCCAATTTTAAAAAAAGGCCTGCACACAGTTCCTCTGGCTTCAAACTGCGCGTTCACATCTACAAAGCAGGGACTTTTACACAAAACGGCTTTCACTACACAGAAAATTCACTTCGCTCCCCCTTTCCCCAAAAACTACAACTAGCGAAAAAGTAATATTTTTCAACTCACACAAATTAATAAAAACATTTTTAAAAAACTATGCATCTCAAATATAATTTTAAAAATATGCTTACATATTATTATTTAATTCATTTTATTTTTCTTTACCTCCGCAGAAAAACATTGGTGTCACTAAACGCAATAAATGGTGTTTTTAGGATATTTCCCTTGGTTTTACAGTAACAATTAAAAAAGTAGAAATGCAAGGAGTGGGTGTTACCATGTATTTTTGAAGGCCGGGATCATCTCTGTGTCAGTGGAGGATTTTGAAAGCTGCTCCAACAAAACGCCCCTCCCGCTCCTCAAAAAAAGCCTCCAGGCACATCCGGCCGGTCCACACACACAAAAATAAATAGAAATCAAACGCAAAGACCGCCAGCATTTATTCCACCCCCGCTTGGCCAAAAAATTGTTGCCGTCGACCAAGCACGACCGGACCGCCGCGGTTGCTTTTTGGGAATAATATCGCTTCCTTAGCTGGATTTTTATTATTTTTTTTATATTTAAAATTTAAAATAACCGTCAGAGAGGCTTTTCCTGTGCCCGCGGTGCAGGACGGGGGAAATTGTTGGCTAGCCGCGGTTGTGTTTTTGAATTTCTAACCGCGTGGCTTTTGAGAGAGAGGAAGGCCCAGGGTGCTCTTCCCCCCTGCCAGGGGCGGCACTCTCTGTGTGTGTGTGTGTCGGGTGTGTGTGTGGTGGTGTGTGTGTGTGCTGTGGGTGTGTGGTGTGCGCGTGGTGTCCGCTGCGCGCGCGCGCTTGCTCTTCTTAATAAATACTGTCAATTGTCAGGGTTGTGACTTTGTCTATACAGCCAGCTATGTGCAATGGAGGATTGTTAGAATTAAAATACATTATGTAGTGGAGTAGCCTACATATCTAAAGTAGAGATTATAACCCTTTATTCCCACCCCATTTTGTGCTGTGTGATATATTTGAGTAAGTTATCTGATCTGCCAGCTGTTGCAATTCCAAAACTTAGGCCTAAGTTTATAACGCTACTAATTTACTAAAGCTGGTGGATTTATGCATTACGAAATATAAAATTGGAAAAAAAAACCCCGAATTGGAGGGGTAAAAACTGCCAGTGTTTCCTGGCCACACAAGCATCAGTTTTTCAATTAATTGCCAGCCATTGGGTGCGCACCACAGTAATTCAAGCAGAAGAGCCTGGAAGAAAGCTGATAGAGAACAGATGGGGATTCCCCCGAGGGCAAGTGCAAAGGGGAAAAGGAACGAGGGCATGTTGAACGACTAATGAAACGCAGCCTTAGAGTCTGCGAAGTCGAAGTCCTGCCCCCTGTCTGTCCAACTCTATCGTGAGTAGGGCTCAGCTGTCAATCATTACGGTGGGAACTGTCTTTGTCAATGATTTGAAAAGTGCAGTTTAGACCTGCTTTATTTGAAAGGTGATATACTTTCTGATGTGATTTGGTACTTTACAAATAAAACTAAACTGAATTAAAATATCAGAAACAGTCTTTGGGAAAAAATTTATTTAACGTGAATTTGGAGGCAACGGGCAACATGGAGGCAATGGGCTTTCATGACCTATATTGCAGTTAGCCACCAGGGAGAGATATAGATGTTTTGGCTGTTTTGGAGAGCTCTCGTGTCATCCATCTTTATATATGTCAATGGTTAAGGTCATTATTCCAGATTAGGCTACTCATAAATTCTTGTCATGACTTGACCGAGACACATGACAGACTATACGTTGGTCCCTGACCAATCATAGGTTTCCTTCTTTCACAGTCTGTGATGTATTAGAAAGGAGGTACTAGAGACTTACAGGAACAAGAATGTAAACAAATGATGGACACGTCTAGGTACTTTGCAAAATGTCACGGTCCCGCCTATTTTTGGGGTATATAACACAAAAGATTCAGTTGATGTCAATGCAATTTGAGCTGTATTTGTATGCATTCATTTCATATTAAACAAAACTTTGTTTTATACAAATTTCTAATAATTATGTTGCCACAATGCCTGAACCTGAGCTTTACCTTGCGATACCTTGATAAATTAATCTTGATCAATCAGCTATCATCCTTCTTCTGTCTTCCCTCGTCCAAGTGGATCAATGACCTAACACAGCTAGACATTGCTTATTTATAAAAATGGGGTTTCATGTCATGATTGACAGCTGAGCCCTGCTAGCGATTGAGTTAGCTGGGTGTATGAGTTGGACTTCGATATTGCAGTGCCAACCAAGATCACTACTGCGCAGACTCTGGCTCCAAGTGGTAAAAGATGGCAGCTGCCATATCTGGGATATTTTGGCTTCATTTTTGTGGGAGGAAGTGGATTTAATGTCTCAGATGTGCCGTTTTGTGTCCATTATGATATAATCACTGCACAAGATAAAATGATAACTTGTCACTCCTGAAGCCCATTATTTTGTTCCTGACGCCTTTCATCTGTTGGGTCAGGCTATTATCTGGTTGATATTATGTAGTCTAAACCCAGCATAATGTCTAATGTGTTTGAATTTGTGTTCTGAATGGCCACATCTGAAGATGGGGATAAAGTGTAAAGTATGCATGAATGTCGGAAAGTTACCAGAACTGTCTGATGTCAGAAAGAGGCAAGGGAGTTTCAGACACTGTTTGATGATCTGCCATGCACTTCCTTTTAAGTATGTGTTTCAAATGGTCGAGGCAGACGGCCACCCACCTAAAGCCGGATTCTGTCCGAGGTTTCTGCCTCTTAAAGGAAGTTTTTCCTTGCTGCTATTGCCAAGTTCTTGCTCATGGTGGGAACTGTTGGGTAAATAATTTTATAAGGAGTTGGTCCTGCTCCATTTTGAAAAGTGTTCTGAGATAACTTCTGTTATGATTTGGCGCTATAAAAAAAAAATTTAATTGAATTTAAATTGAATTGAAATGTCCATACCATAATAATCAGGTCATATCATAAACTTACTACAAGGAGTTTTTAACTGGTTATGTCAACAGTCTCAGTTTAATATTGATGCCTGTATATGACCTATGTATACAAACAAGACCATCGGTGAGAAGATTGGCTATTTCTATATAGTTATTCTTAATGTCTGCCTTGGTTGGATTTGGTCAGATTTCCCTTGAAATCAATGAAACAAGGCGGAAGAAAAACTACTGCTTTTGTTCACAGGGGCTGCCAGAATCAACACAAAATAAAAGTTCCTTGTAGGGGCTTTAAAGAAACATCTCAGAGGAAGTCTCTGTGTTTGGCTGGTCCAACAATAATATATATATAGTAATAATTTGTTTACAGTAAATAGTTATTGGTAGAGGGAAATGCATTCACTGACGGCATCACACACGATTCACACAGAAAGTGAATTTTTCACAAAGATGGAAATAGATATGAATTTGCATTGAAAAAGGAGATTGAATGGGGGAAAGTAAGCAAGGAAGCTGGACTACCTGGTAAGTGATAAAAATATGCATCTATTGACTGCTGACTTGACTCCTGCCACTCGTTGTGTGTACAACAGAGTGCAACACCATGAATGTCTTTATGGAGAGACTGAGAAAGTGTGCACCAATATTCAGTCAATATTTAAATGATCATTGCGTACAGGTCTCCAAAAGTGAAGCCAAAACATCTCTAACACCCCCTGGTGGCTGAATGCAGTATAGGTCAGGAAGCTGCTGCCTCCATGTTAGTAGACGGGACAAGGTCCAAACTAAAAAATCCAAATACATGTCAAATACATTTTCCCCAAAGATGGTTTCTGTATTTTTAGGTTGTTTTTATCACACTG